TTGGCTATTTTAGAGATAAGATTGAGGGAAATTTTCTGGAGTGAGGAAAGACTAGATCACTAGGGAAGAGGGAGGAGGTGCAGACAAAGGCTGGGGGTTAATTGGAATAACAAGGATTTTGTTTACTGAGGAAATAGACCAGCACAGATGTATCAGGATAGCAGGCTGAGGCTGTTTAGTGCTCTTGAGGACAAACATACTTCCTGGAAGAAAGAAATCATCCCCCCCCCCCCCACCTAGTTTTTATAAATATCTGTCAATTATTTGAAAGAGCCTCCTTGTTCTTGAAGCTGAGCAACCAGAGACATTGGAGTTTGGTCCAGTGTCACACTTGCTGAGGTCTAGCACTCAACCAATGATTTTTTTTTTATCATCCTCTTTGTAATTGACTAACTATCACACGAGTGGTTGGTTATGCCATTTGCCTGTAAAATAGGCAGGTGGGAAACATTAATTCCCGATTGTGGGAAAGAATCCCAAAGCACAGACACGCTGTGACCAGCACAGGCATGGCTTATCACTCACTTCATTGGCAAAGTCAGATCATCAATTTCAACTTGATTTAATAGTAAACATCCCAGTTAACTCAGAAAAATAAATCCTTCTGCACTATTAGATGATTTTTTTTTTCTAACCGGTTTTGAGTCCTAAATAAATACTATGAGTGCCCAAGATTTATTTTTTGGAAGGATGTAGAGGATATTGTCCAGAAAGGTGACACATTGACAGCTGCCTATACTTTCTCAGAATGGAACCTCACACATGCCAGAGTGTTTATATTCAGAGTACGGTTGTCCCTGGTCAGTTTGTCTGAGGGGATCTTGCTTCCCTGCTTCACTGGGGAGCTCACTTTCTCTGGCTTGTGGAAGTGTGACTCTGCTGCCACTCCATGACATAGTCTGGCTCTCACTACCTCTCAGTAGGTCTGCAGAGAGTCATTTATAGGACAATGCATGGGAAACTTTTTCAAGACAGAAAACCAGTGTTTGCCAGTCTGCAGTTTCTTCGTGCCTCTACTCATAGGACACTCAGTGAAGACCAACTTCAGCTTCTGTAAAGATGTACATTGAAATTGATGGGAAAGTGAAAGGCACCGGCTGTTTAAATTATTTGGTGAAGCATCCACCTGTACATTGAGGGTTCTACATAGTCCATCTATTTTTCTTTCACCTTTCACTGATTACTTATTCCTTGTGGCTTTTGGTAACTTTAGTACTGACTAGAATGCTATGAAAGTTGTCAAAGATGAATACAAAGGAGGTTGTAACACTAAGGAATTTGGAAGTCTATAACATAATGAACTGTAAGAAACTGTAAGAAAAAAGGAATCCCACTATAATACTCATTTCAGTGTAAGGAAAACAAATATTGTGTTTCCTTGTGTCATGATTTGACCTATATGCAAGATAACTAACTGCACGATATAAAAATGTTCTTTGTAATGAAGGCCTGAGTCTATGTCTTTACCTTCTGAATCCAAAATATTTCTAGAAATAATACGTACCTTTTCTCCTTAAAGTTGTAGGGAATTTGAAGTTTTGGGTTTTGTCTCTGTTATCTCAGAAATTGGAAGCATTAAATATCCTTGTTTTATGGATAAACAGAATTAGGTCATTTGTTCATAGTCCTCCCTCAGTACAGGTGCTAGGACACTGCAACCTCCCTCACCTACTACCTCCCGTCAGTCGGCATTTCCTGTGCCTTCAATCTCCTGACCCTCCTCTGCACCCATCCTCTCCCTCTGCACCACGCATTTGTGTCTGTCATCTGCCTCATTGTGTGCTACTCCCATCGCCTCTGCCTGCCTTCAGGCCACCTTCATTTCTCTCTGGAGCCACTACAGCAGTTCTTGCATGTACTTCAAATGGTACCCCTTGAACCCCAGGCAAACTGAAAACTCTCTATTGTGACATACACTTCCCTTCATGATTTGGCTCTGCTTCCCTCTTTAGTGGGATCTCTGGCCATCTTACCTCTTAAAATGTCCTGGCTCCAGTCATACTAAATTACTTGCAGTCTTTTGCTGCCCTGTATTCTCTCACAGCTCTGTGCATTTCTGATGCTCTTCCTTCTGTTTTGATGCCTGCCTCCTCTCCTGTCATGTATTCTTATCTTCTACTTCCAGACTTAGATCAAAATCAGGTGCTCCTGGAAGCTTCTTTGATTTTTTTTCTCTTGCTCACTCACCAGCACCCACAGAAATGCAGTATAGGGTGCCCTTGTTAGTGCACTATGCTTTGTAATACCATCAGTATTGTTGATTTTTGTTGTTGGGTTTTTTCCCTGTTTCCCACTCTTCAGTGAAGTCTTTTGAGTGGTAACTGTATTGTTAATATTGTGTATCTCCAGCTGACCTGTGAATGATGCTCAATAAATACCCATTAAAGAATAGCAAAGTCCTTGTTTTCTTGATCCTCAAGCAAAAGTTCTTCATTAGACTGTGAGCTCTTGATTAATAGTAGTAAACAGTAGTAAACAGTAAGCACAGACTGTCCCAGGCACTCCCCTGGGCACTCTGTATATATTCACCCTCACAAAATGTTTACAAATCAATTTAAATGATGAAACTTTTGTGACTGTTAAGTCTCAGAATTCATTCCAGGCACTCTGGCTCCAGTAATCACATTCAGTGCAATACTTTTTCTTCCTTGCTCCTATTTCTAGCATGATCTGATGTTATTAGTAGAAAACAAGTAAAATACAAAGACATCTGAAAACGTTAACACATACCAACTCATACCTCTCTGCATGAGAGAGAAAGGGAGGGCTAGGGAGACCAGAAGGGAAATGTGTTGATTAAATAAAGGAATTCATTGATTTGTAGCATATTTTAAAGTAAGTAAAGGGTTTTTTAAAAAGATTTTATTTATTTACTTTTAGAGAGGAAGGGAGGGAGAAAGTGAGGGGGAGAGACATTGATGTGTGAGAATACATTGATTGGTTGTCTCTCGCATGCCCCCAACTGGGGACCTGGCCTGCAACCCAGGCAAGTGCCCTGACTGGGAATAGAACTGGTGACCTTTTGGTTTGTAGGCAGGCACTCAGTCCACTGAGCCACACCAGCCATGGCTAAAGTAAGTAAAGGTTTTATAAGTGATTTTAGATCTTATTTTAGCAATATTTCTATAAAGTTATTTGAACTGAAATTTCCATTGGAAGGAAATGGTGAATACCCAAGATAGCTTTTATGCTATTAATTCATTTTTTATAGTACTATTTTTTAGTATTTGTAGATACTTAACAAAATATTTTTATTCTTCATTTTGGGCTTTTAAGACACCACAAGGATCTTTGTTAGCTCTACAGTTTTAACAATTCCAGCAGGCCCTTAACCATAGCAGGGAAAAAAGTGTCATTTATAAACTCCTTTACTGGGTGGTGAACTTTTTTTTTTAAATGCAAACTTCTTAAGGATGATGGCTTTATTTTATAATTTTTATTCCATAGAGTGTTTTAGAACTGTCTTATAATAAGTACCTAGTAAATGCTTACGGAAATAGATAAATGAATGAAAGTCGTATAATGACCTGAGTTAATATTTATTCCATTAAGTGACTGATCATGTTACAACATCACTAATAAATTTTTGGAAGCCGGCTGAAAGTAATTTGTAAAAGGAACTACCACCACTTGATAAGTGAGTGTGTGAGTGAGGATGCTTTCTAGGGTTGTGTGCTCTCTGAATTGTTGTGTCCAAAAAGTGCAATTAAACCGCAGAGAGAAAACATGCCCTTAAACAATACTAGAAAATGCAGTCCAGATGGTAAATACAGTCAGGTTTATAACCATGTGTAGATTCAGTCTATATGTAAAATATTCCACAAAGATCTGAAAATAAGTTCAAAAAATAATTCTTACAGAAATGATAGGGCAAGGAAACTTTGCCTGTTGGATTGATCCTTTGGCAGTTTAATGTGTAGAGGGTAGGGGAGAATAGTGATAGCAGGCAATTTCCTAGCAGTTAGTATGAGAGCCATTGTTATAGGGACTTGGCAGTACTATTACTCCCCATCTTACAAATGAAACAACCGATGGCAAAGATGTTAGATAACTTGCCCCAAGGCCACACAGCCCAGGTTTGAGCCTGACTCCAGAACTCAGGCTCTTAACCACTATACTATATAGCACTTAGAGTGACACCCCCTAGAAGACTCAAAAACCACACCCTCCTTTAGAGGAAGTTTCCTCACAGCTTACATTTTGCCTAAAGTTTCTGTTACCGTCATTCCCAGTGTGGACATAAATATTGGCAACACACCACAAATAATTCATTGTTTTGTAAATTATTTTTAGGCACATTGAAGTTCAAAAAAAATATGGAGACATATTTAGCCTGACTGATCACCAAATGGATATAAAACAGAGATACTTTTTTTTTGTACTTATCAAATTGATAGTTTATATTTAGAGTTGAAATATTCAGGTTGACTGAGAAACAGTGAAGCCCAAATTGTCACTGATCAGTAGGTAAGTTGGTAAAAAACATCAGTTTACATCAAAAGCTTTATTTAAAAAGTATAGAAATAATAGAGGTATAGAAAAGATTTTTGTACATAGATGTGTGGTCAAATAGTAAAATGTTACAACTCTTCTCTTTTAACGTGTTATATATAAAATACATCTAAATACAGGAAAAGCCTATCTTAAAATGACTGTTCCTTTCCCTTCATATTAAAGTATCCTGAAGTATTGGAATTATTTGCTAATATATACTTGATACTGTTTTTTGTAACTGTGAGTTCACACAGGAATGCAAAGTAAGCCTACTTTTTGACAAAGATGTTTCTGGCATGTTCCATTGCTTTCACCTAGCTTAATACTAGCTGATTAGAACTGTCAGGTGCTAGAGAGCCTAAACTATATTAATAATATAATTTTTGTTAGGAATATTTAGCTTGTTATTGAATATCTTCTTTCATTTTACCTTATATCTTAAGTAGACTTTCAAAGTTTTTCTTAACTCAAAAGACTGTTGAAAAAGCAAAATATCTAGGACTTACCTCTCAGTGACTTGTTCAGGCCTCTGTGTAGTAGCAGTCAGGATTTGACCAAATTGAAGTAGGTTAACCTTAGCATGTTGTTCTAAGAAAGATTATACAGACATCCTTTTATGGTGGTGACTTTTTTCCTGTCACCCTGTGACTGGGCATAATAATGATCAGTTAGTCTTCCTTGTTAAAAAAAAAAGGAAGTGAAATTTTTGTTAGTAGATTTTTTGAATAGTTATCTGAAAACCCCTTGGAACTTATGAATTGCTGAAATCTATGAAACTTTATAAATTTATCTATAAAAATTTAATTATTAAAAAAATTATGTGAAAGAGACTGAAATAGTAGACTTTAACTGGAAAAAAGTGAATCATAGTTACTGATAATTTTGTATCTAAAGGATGAGTTTTTAAGTGTTTTAAGGGGGAAAAATGGCAAATTTGATAGTTTTGTCTACCTGGAAACTTGATACAGTGGGTAGTTTGCACAACAGCTTATGAGAAAGAAATCAAAGTTTCTGTGGTGAGTGGGAGAAAGATGCCCTTTTGCATATATATAGGGATTAGTTGATGTTTTTAGGTGGGAGGCTAACTTGACTGCATCAGTGACTGCACGGACACTTGAATGACAGGGGAAAAGTTGAAGGAGGCATGTTGTAGCTTAAATTGAGCCTCTTTACATAGGATGAAGGAGACCTGTGCCGTTCACCTTAGTTTTAGTTGACCTTTTAAATCAAGAATGTAACATGACTATCAAAATACAATTTACTTGTAGGCTGAATTAATAGAAATATAATGCTCAAAACAAATAAGATGATATTTACACTTATCCAGGACTAATCTAGGCATTCCCAGTCAGTTCTGGGTGCTGCATTTTACAAAAGGCAGAGATGACTTAGAGCATGCCTGGGATGGTGAGGGATCTGGTTCCTAGGTCTTAGGTGAAATGATTGAATAAATTGAGAATGTTTAGGCTTGGCAGGGATATGATCACTGTTTTCATGCATTTAGAGGATGTCTTGTAAAAAGGGTTTAGGCTGGGTATGTCAATCTTCCTAACTCCAGAGAATAGAAAGAAAGCCAATAAAAGGAAGCTACTGAAGTCAGCTTTCAAATCAAAATACGAGTTTAGTTCCCAAAAGTTAGGACCATAAAAATGTGCAGTAGGCTGTCTCTTATTTATATGCTTGCATAGACTGAATGACTATTTCGAAATGTAGTGTAGAGACTGTTGAATCATCTGGTAGGAATCTGTAGCTGTGTGACCTCAGAGGCTCTTTAATTTTAAGGGTCTTTCAGAAACGATTAAGTGAGCCCTGGTCAGTGTGGGTGTAGCTCAGTTAGTTCGACCCTAGTCCCATAACTGAAATGTTGCAGGTTCGATTCCTGGTTGGGGCACATGCCTGGGTTGCAGGGTCAATCCCCGGGCTGGCTTTGGTCTCGGCATGTATGGGAGACAACCAGTCGATATTTCTCTTTCACATTGATGTTTCTCCCACCCTTCCTCTTTCTCTAAAAGCAATGAAAAAAATGTCCTCTGGCAATGATTAAAACAACTACAACAACAAATAAAAACAATGGCCAAGTGATTTTAGCCTCTCAGTGGCATTATTCCATTTAGAAGCTTATTAGGTTCTTCCTAACTCTAAAATGCTGAAGAATGTGGAGAAACTTTGTCAAATAGAAGAGTAATTCTTTGGCCTTCCACCCCACAGTCTATAAAATAAAGTCATTGAACTAAATAATTCCCGGTGCCAAAAGTTTTATCAGGGGGAAATAGAGATTTTATGATCCAATGGATAAATATGGTAACATATTCTAGATCTAGTTTCTTTAAAATTTAGATTGAAGAATACTTAAAGAAGACACTGTTGAAATTGTTCAATTTGTTGGAAGGCCATCTTGGTGGGATGTTTTGGTTTTTAATATTTGAAATAGTTCTTATTAAGTAAAACATTGTTATACAATGAAAAAACTCAACTAGGTAAATATGCTAGCAAACTGGCTCTACTGCTTTTTGGTACTATAGTAGTCAAGTATATAAAGAAGAGGTGATGAAGCAATTGTCCTGCAAGGTGTCGTTGAAGTTTAAAGTAAAGTAATTTCATGAGTTCACAAAACTTATTTTAATTGTTGCTGACAGTTACCAGGATTTTTTTTTTTTTAAGTTGTACGATAAAAGTGGAGTCAACGTCATTTTCTGTATAAGAGGTAAGATACATTCTGGCCGCTGTGGCTCAGTGGATTGAGCACTGGCCTGTGAACCAAAGGGTTGCCAGTTCAATTCCCAGAGCAGGGCACATGCCTAGGTTGCAGGCCAGGTCCCCGGTGGGGGGTGTGTGAGAGGCAGCCACACATTGATGCTTCTCTCCCTCTCTTTCTCCCTCCCTTTCCCTCTCTAAACATAAATTAATGAAAAATTTTTTATAAAAAAAAAAGAGGTAAGAGAGACGTTTGTGACCTGAACTGAGCGTTTCTGTCATTTTGTTTGTTCTATTGAGTACCGTCATGAGTGTATAGTAGATAATAAATATTAGTGGAAGAATGAATGGATTCTTTATAACGGTTTTCCTCTATTCTATACTTCAATCTCATATACTTATGCCAGAGAGGGCTTCCAGAAGTTAGTTATTCACAATATAAAAAAGGTCAAATTAAATTCATTGTTGACAGAATAAAGAACAGATGTTATAAGGAAAAGAGAAGAACTGGTCAGTGACTAATAACATGATGTTTTGTGAAATCTCTGTCTATAGAAATAGCAATGGAAAATTTCTACAACACAAACTATATAACCGTGGTCTGAAATGTGTGCTTTTGTATTATGGGTATATGTGGTCTAGTATTTAGTCATCATTTAAAACTACACAGTGATTAATAACTTCTAAGGAATTTTAAAACTTCTATTGGTATATAAGACATGAACTGTGGTCATTAAAGTTCCTATCAATATTTTTTTTAATTGAAATATAATTTCAAACAAAAATTCTGCTTCAGATTTTTTATCTTAATATCATTACTTACACTTTATTGCTAAATGTAAACAGAAGAATTTCTATAATTTAACTACCTTAAAGAACATGTTCTGCGGTAAGCGATCTCAAGTGCAACCAAAATAGAGTTATTTTATTATTACCAAGAGACCAACAGGCCATTTTCTGAATGTATATATATATATATATGAAACCGTGTATTCTAATCCTACTAAAAATAGTGAGAGACTCAAGATGGCGGAGGAGTGAGTGGAAGTCACACTGACCTCCTCCCAGGACCAACCTGGAATTACAACTAAATTGTGGAGAAATCACCTGCAAAAAACAATTGAATAGCGAGAGAGGAGCCTTGTAACCTCGGAAACAAAAGAATTTGCTTTAGCGCAATCTAACTGGTAAGGAGTGCGGTACAGACTTGAGGTGGGCGGGGCGCCCACTGGCGGCAGCACCAGAAGGATACTGAAATGGCCAGTTGGATCCCCCGGAGAAGAGCGGGGTCGAATCCAAAAGCGGGGATCTCTAGCCCACAGTACCAGAGCCCAAAAAATACACAGAAAACAGCCAGCTGCGAAAAGTGGCAGGGTTGCTCTCTGCCAGAGACAGGCAGCTGGGGATGCAAAGAACTGTTTAAAGGGCCAATGTATAAATTTTTATTTGCAGCCACTTACCCTAGTCTCTGGCAAAGGCGGGGACAGAGTGGGTTAGAGACGCCCAAGGAGAGACTGGGGAAGGAGGCTTTGGGGAGAGAACTGAGAGAGTAGCCAGTGGGATCCAGGTGCTGACTCATCCCCCATATGGCAGCAGCCATCTGGTTCAGGCAGACCACTCCCCTGAGCAGAAGCAGCATGAGAGGACCCAATAACCCCACCCTTAGGAGGGACTCCACCCCGCCCTGCACTGTCAAAGCTGGCCTGCTGAGTGCAGAGTGAATAGACTAACAGCTGAAGGAGACGGCCACAGACCGTGGATTCCTGGAAGCCTCGAAGAGACTGCCTAAGGTCACACATGGTCAGCATCTGACATCATCAGAGGCAGATCCGGAAAGTAAAAGCAGTGGTCTCCAACTATAGAGGTGCACACCACAAAGTTAGGAAATCAAGACAGATCAACTTAAGAATCAGAAGCAAAAGAGAAGAGTCTCACAAATAATGGGAAGACAAAGAAATACGCCCCACTCGAAGGGAAAGAAAGAATCCCCAGAAAGAGAGCTAAATGAAAGAGAGGCAAGTAAACTATCAGATACTGAGTTCCAAACAACAGTTCTCAGGAAGCTCAATGAGCTCAGTGAGCTCAGAAAGAATTACAAAAAATCTATAGGGAAACTATTAGGAATGTACTGCAAACTATGTTAGCATGAAAAAGGACATAGAAACTATCAATAAGTCACAAGAGGAAATAAAGAATACAATTTCTGGGTTGAAGAAAACAGTAGAAGGAATCAAAAGCAGGCTTGATGAAGCTGAGGACCAAATCAGCAAGCTGGAGGACAAGGTAGAAAAAAACTCCCAGAAAGAGCAAGGAAATGAAAAAAGACTTCAAAAGAATGAAGAGGCATTGAGGGAAATGCAAGACAACCTGAAATGTAGTAATATCCATATAATAGGGATACCAGAAGAAGAGGAGGAGCAAGGGATAGAACCTGTTTGAAAAAGTAATGATGGAAAACTTCCCTCATTGGAGGAGAGAAAAAGTCACACAAGTCCAGGAAGCACAGAGGGTCCCATTCAGGAGGAGCCCAATGAGGCCCACTCCAAGACACATCATCATTAAAATGGCAGATATCAAAGATAAACAGAGAATCCTAAAGCAAGCAAGAGAGAAAGAGGTAGTAACATATAAGGGAGCCCCAATATGGCTAGCATCTGACTTCTCAGCAGAAACACTGCAAGCCAGAAGGGACTGGCAAGAAATATTCCAAGTCATGAAAAGCAAAGGCTTGCAACCAAGACTGCTCTATCCAGCAAGACTCTCAATGAAAACGGAAGGCAAAATAAGGAGTTTCCCATACAAAAGAAGGCTAAAAGAATACCCCTCCACCAAAGCAGCACTGTGAAATATGCTAAAGGGACTGCTTTAAGATGAAGAAAAAGTTTCTATGAATACCCTGTGTCTTTCAGAGTTGCCAATACTTGATATTACCAATGTTT